CACAGGCGTTCGTGGCGGCTACCAGCGGCGCTGGGCCACCAAGTCCTTTTCTGTGTGGGTGACCGTGAGCCGTGCCAGGCTGTGTCCAGTGCAGTGGTGCCAGGTGCCAGCTAAGCCCTGGGGGAGACCCTGTCCACACGCCATCTGCAGGCATTCCTCACGTTGCTGACCACGGGAGGGGACAGGACAGCAGCCGAGCCCAGGTGACCGCAGTCCAGAGCGGGGGCCTCCACGTCCCAGCGCTGCTGAGCCCCACAGGAGGAGGAGGGGGGGTGCTGGCCAGAAGCAGGCCCCAGGCCCTTGGCCCCGCCCTGCCGGCCCCCCACCCCGGCCCGCAGGGCACTCTCCCCAGCCATGGCACTGAAGACCAAACGTGTCCTAGTGCAGTGTGGGCCAGGGCAAGTCCCGGCAGAGGAGGGTCACACAGAGACAACGTGACTCCCTGCACAGAGGCGTGTGTCCATGTCCATGCACATGGACACACACACACACTCCCTGCACAAGGTGTGTGTGTACATGCACATACAGACACACACTCCCTGCACAAGGTGTGTGTGCACATGCACATACACACACTCCCTGCACAGAGGCACGCGTGCATGCATGTGCATACACATATACTTTGCACAGAGGTGCACACGCGCACACACATGCACTCTGCTGCCTTGTGGCACAGCGCTGGCTAGGCCCCTGGCCCCACGGTATACCTGTGGGTCCCCAGGGAGGAAGTCACAGTTGAGTCTACCTCAGTGTCCTTCCTAATCACCGATGCCTACAGAAAACACACAGGTGTTGGCGCTTCTGACCCGTTTCCATATTCTCCAACCTTAGAGAAAGGATGTTGGAGACACCTTTGCTGGGTTTTGTGGTGATTTTTCTGATGAGAACATCTTCGGGGAGTAGGAACTCTGAGTTCACCCGCTCCTGTCTCCACGTGGTGACCAGGTGCAGCACAGCACCTCAGCCAGCTCAGAGAGGCCACGGGCAGAGGGCAGGGACCAGGATCCCAGAGCCTCCCCACTGAGTCTGGGTGGAAGGCCAGGAGTGGGGCGCTCTCTGAGGACAGAGACGCCGTCGGTGTGGACGCGGCTGTGTCGTTCTGGGGTTCACACCAAATGGAGGCTGAGGCCCCACTCCTGGGTCCCGAGGATCACGGGCTCACTCCCGCTGTGGGAAGGGGCACACAGCACGGCACACGCCGGGTCTCCAGGCCCGAGGCTCTGCTCAGCCCGCCCGGATCCGGCACTGGCACGGCTGTGCGTGGAGAGCAGGAGAGTTCCGCACGTGCTCCGCCACCCCCCGCTTCTGGCCTCCGACTCCAGGGACGCGGCCTTTGCCGGCTGTCCTGATGACTCTGTTCAAAGCAGTCCCAAGGTCTGCTGGCATGTGACCTTTTAAGTTGTTTCTCCTTTTTTTTTTATGCAATGCCAGCCCCCTGGTCTCAGATCAAAAGAAAAAGTATTAACGCATTTGCTGAGTTCTGAAAACACAAAGTCCACAAATGTCTCTGAACTATGGGAAGAATCTGCTGGGGCTCCAGTCAGTGAGCGCTTATGCCAGAGCTGCACACACGAAACATTGCGTGTGTCATCCATTTTAATTCAACATTGTGGGCATTTCAACTGTTGTGTCCAAACCGGAACATCCGAAAGAGAGAGCCACACGTGTCTGTCACCCACACATGTGTGAAAATGTCCCCAGGACAGCCAGCAGCCTCTGTGCCCTGAGAAGGGACAGGGCCAAGGCCACCAAGAAAGCACTTAGGGGCTGGCCCCACTGGGCCCCTGGGAGCAGTCCTGACCTAGGTCTGACCATAGAACTTGCAGAAGCTACGCTCTTGGAAAACAGAAGATCCCAGCACAGATCATCCAGGGCTGCCAAGCCCAAGCCTGGGCCTCAGGCACGGACTCGGTCCCCACAAGCCGTCTCTGCCAGGGTGGATGTGTGTGCAGTGGTGGTGAGTGCTGTTGAATGCAGAAACGCTTCGTGATGTACAGCAGCCTGAAGGAGCTCTGCCGTCTTCATACTCCGCGCCAAGACCCGGGCAGGGAAAACTGGGAAACCGGGAGCCCCTTTCTGGGTCAATCCGGGCTAACCTGGGGCCTCTGGAGCCCCAAGGCTAGGCTGCCAGCGGCACAGGATGCCCGGCTTTGGTTGACACTGTGATGAGGGCTCTGCTCTGCCCTTCAGCCAGCTCAAAGTCCGCTACGCAGGCACTGCTGTGGCACGGAACACCCTGGAAGCCGGTGGGCACTGGTGCTGTAGATTCTCTGCTGTGTTTTTCTTCTGTGTGAGTTTTCTGGTGGTATCAGCTTTTACACTCAGGGACGTGCACACGCAAGGCAGGTGCTCTGCCATGTGAGCCACGCACCCAGTACCATTTTTGCGTTCTTGTTTGTTTGGGGGCTGGGATGCCACCGCAGCCAGCTTGTTTGTTGAGACGGAAGTCTTTCTCTTTGCCACACACTGGCCTTACACCACAATCCTCTGCTTCATAGGTGTGGGCCGCCAGGCTGTAATCCTGGTTTAGGTTAAACTTACTGAGGTGAAGCACATTTCATGTTTGATTTCTTCCCGATCCTATTTTGGGGGGGGGAAAGGCGAGCCTGCACCTGGGCTTGTGGCTGGCGGGACCTGAGCCCGGTGCTGCCCAGAGGGAGCGCGCGGCCGATGGGACCTGTGTCTGGTGCCCAGGACCTGTGCCTGGTGCCCAGGACCTGCGCCCAGTGCCCGGCGCGGCCGGCGGGACCTGCACCCAGTGCCCGGCGCGGCCGGCGGGACCAGCGCCCAGTGCCCGGCGCGGCCGGCGGGACCAGCGCCCAGTGCCCGGCGCGGCCGGCGGGACCAGCGCCCAGTGCCCGGCGCGGCCGGCGGGACCAGCGCCCAGTGCCCGGCGCGGCCGGCGGGACCAGCGCCCAGTGCCCGGCGCGGCCGGCGGGACCAGCGCCCAGTGCCCGGCGCGGCCGGCGGGACCAGCGCCCAGTGCCCGGCGCGGCCGGCGGGACCTGCGCCCAGTGCCCGGCGCGGCCGGCGGGACCAGCGCCCAGTGCCCGGCGCGGCCGGCGGGACCTGCGCCCAGTGCCCAGCGCGGCCAGCAGGACCTGCGCCCGGTGCCCAGCGTGGCCGGCGGGACCTGCACCCAGTGCCCAGCGCGGCCGGCAGGACCTGCGCCTGGTGCCCGGCGCGGCCGGCGGGACCTGCGCCCAGCGCTGCCCAGAGGGAGCGCGGCAGACACCGCGTACGGAGGCGATGGGATCTCCGCTTCCAGGCTACATGCTAAGACTTGCTAGCTGCTGGCTTCTAGAAGCATCTGTCAAGAGCACATTCTGATATGTTTGTATGTTCCTAAAGTTTCCTTTCCCTCCGTGCCGTAGGGGAGTAAACAGGCAGGGCAGGATCGTGTCTGGGGCGCCGTCACCCGCGCTGCCCCAGGGCTGCCTGTCACCCGCGCTGCCCCAGGGCCGCCCGTCACCCGCGCTGCCCCAGGGCCGCCCTTCCCAGCAGCAGGGCACAGCCGCACTCTGGTGATGTCCTGCAGCCCAGGCCCAAGCTGCTCATGGAGCAAGTGCCGGGAGAGCTCCTTCCTATCCAGGACACAGGAGCCCAGGGGCCCGCGGCAGGCGGCTGGACAGGCCCCTGACCAGGGCCCTCGGGTGACACCCCACCCTAGACCCCAGCAGAGCCATCCCTGGCCTCTCCAGGCAAATAAGCAGTATCTGGTGCCTGGGAGGGGGGCTGGTGGCTGGGGTTCAGGTACGGCTGCAGTTTCCCACGGGGTGAGGGCAGACCTGGGCCGGGCACTCCGTCCCCCGCCTCCCAGCCCCCCTCTGCCTCCCACCCCCCCCCTCCACCAGCTCCTCCTGTGGCCCCACGGGAGACCCTGAGATTGGGTTCCACCAGGGACCGCGGGGCCTGGGGTCCTGAGAGGAGGTCACGCCAGCACACGGCGTTTAAAGCAGCCTCTGGGGAATCATCTCCCCACGTCTTCCTTCCCCACCCAGGGTTCCTGCCAGGATGTTCCGCAGCCTTTAACGGCCACACCTCCGCCCAGACCCGGATGGCAGGAGAGTCTGAGCCTGAGGCCGGCCTGTGTCCGCGTGTGCAGCCACGCTGTCGGTGGGGCTCAGCACGGCAAAGCCAGGGCCCTGACGCCTCCCCTGTCCTCACCGGCCCCTTCTCTGGGGAAGCACGCATCTTCTGTTTCGGTTATATCATTTTGGGTTGTATCATTCAACCCAGACCTGGAACTCACAATCCTCCGGCTCAGCTTCCCAGGGGCCGGGATTACAGGCACGTACCCCCACACCAACCTAGCCAGTAAACACTTCCCAATCACATCAGAGTGAGATCTTGAGGCCACTGAACCCAGGTGTGTTTACTTAGAATGCTGCATTTGAAAAGAACAAATATCTCCAGGACCTTCCTGATTATAGGGCTGCAGCGATGTGCGCTGGTGGTGGTCTTTAGGGTTGTTATATTGTTTAGTTAGAAATAACTAATCAGTGCAGAAAATCTTCTCAAAGGGGGTTTTAATCTGTGGTCTCGTTTCTGAGAGAATAAGAGAAAGTTTCCCAGTGAAACGGCTGCTTGTGTTGTGAACACAATAGGAGGGTCAGCTCCTCCATTAACAATGGGAAGCATTTCAAAGTTTTCCTCTACCCATGAGTGTTAATTTGATTCCTAATCTGGAGAAGCGTGCCCTCAACGGCTTGCACACAGTGAACTCGTGCAATTGTAGAATCTCCATTTGCTAAAAAGAGGGAGAAAACCAAGACTCAACTCTAGCTCCCGTAGAGGTAGAGATCAGGAAGATCGGGGTGAGACTAGCCTGGGCAAACAGTTCATAAAACCCCATCTCAAAAGAAAAGGCAAGGCTGGTGGCACATGCCTGTCACCTCAGCTATGGTAGGAACTGTAAATAGGTGGATCAGAGTCCAGGCCAGTCCAGGTATAAAAGTAGTTTCCGCAAAAAAGGCCAGCCAGGCCCGGCCGCCGCTCACCTTTGCAGTTCCCGCGGTAGGCGATCTCTAGCTGGGGGTCCTTGCACTTGGCGCGCTGGAACTCACAGCGGGACAGGAAGGTCCTCCCGTCGGATGCGCACAGCGGCCGCTGCTGGGAGCCCGTGCAGTCCATGCTGCAGTCTCTGCCTTTGTCTTGATCCACTCTCAGGAACTTGGGGAGGAAAAGAAGAAGCCAGACAAAGTGAAGGCCTGTCCCGCCCTGCCACTGAGACGGAGATTCCCTGACGCCCCAAGGCCAGGGCGGGCCGGGAGGAGGGAAAGAAGCATCTCCCAGGTCTCTCTGGGAAGTCTGGGCAGCGCGGGGTAACCTCTGGCCCTCTGTTCGTGTCTGGCGTGAGCTCGGGGTAACCTCTGGCCCTCTGTTTGTGTCTGGCATGAACTCGGGGTAACCTCTGGCCCTCTGTGTCTGGCGTGAACTCGGGGTAACCTCTGGCCCTCTGTTCGTGTCTGGCATGAGCTCGGGGTAACCTCTGGCCCTCTGTTCGTGTCTGGCGTGAGCTCGGGGTAACCTCTGGCCCTCTGTTCGTGTCTGGCGTGAGCTCGGGGTAACCTCTGGCCCTCTGTTCGTGTCTGGCGTGAACTGGTGCATGCGCCTCCATCTGTGGGAGGGGTTTCTGCCCTCTCTGATTTCCCGCTGTGGAGCGTGTGAGTCCGTGCCAGGGGAGGCCCCCGGGGCCCCCTCCTCCCCTGCCCTGCTCGGAGGATGCCGCCAGGAATGGGCTCCCCCCACGCCGCAGGACCCCAGAGACACAGGCCAGCGGAGCACGGAGCATGGAGCACGGCGGCCAGCAGAGCACGGAGCGCGGCGGCCAGCAGAGCACGGAGCACGGCGGTGGCCAGCAGAGCACGGAGCACGGCGGTGGCCAGCAGAGCACGGAGCGCGGAGGTGGCCAACAGAGCACGGAGCGCGGCGGCCAGCAGAGCACGGAGCACGGCGGCCAGCGGAGCACGGAGCACGGCGCACGGCGCACGGCGCACGGAGCACGGCGCACGGAGCACGGAGCACGGAGCACGGAGCACGGAGCACGGAGCACGGAGCACGGCGCACGGAGCACGGCGCACGGCGCACGGAGCACGGAGCACGGCGCACGGCGCACGGCGCACGGAGCACGGAGCACGGCGCACGGAGCACAGCGCACGGCGCACGGAGCACGGCACACGGAGCACGGAGCACGGAGCACGGCGCACGGCGCACGGAGCACGGAGCACGGAGCACTGCGCACGGAGCACGGAGCACGGCAGCCAGCAGAGCACGGAGCACGGAGCACGGCGGCCAGCGGAGCACGGAGCATGGAGCACGGAGCACGGCGGCCAGCGGAGCACGGAGCACGGCGGCCAGCAGAGCACGGAGCACGGAGCACGGCGGCCAGCGGAGCACGGAGCACGGAGCACGGCGGTGGCCAGCGGAGCACAGAGCACGGAGCACGGTGGCCAGCGGAGCACGGAGCACGGAGCACGGCGGCCAGCAGAGCACGGAGCACGGTGGCCAGCGGAGCACGGAGCACGGAGCACGGCGGCCAGCGGAGCACAGAGCACGGCGGCCAGCGGAGCACAGAGCACGGAGCACGGCGGTGGCCAGCAGAGCACGGAGCACGGCGGCCAGCGGAGCACAGAGCACGGCGGCCAGCGGAGCACGGAGCACGGCGGCCAGCGGAGCACAGAGCACAGAGCACGGCGGCCAGCGGAGCACAGAGCACGGCGGCCAGCGGAGCACGGAGCACGGAGCACGGCGGCCAGCGGAGCACGGAGCATGGAGCACGGCGGCCAGCGGAGCACGGAGCACGGCGGCCAGCGGAGCACGGAGCACGGAGCACGGCGGCCAGCGGAGCACAGAGCACGGCGGCCAGCGGAGCACAGAGCACGGAGCACGGCGGTGGCCAGCAGAGCACGGAGCACGGCGGCCAGCGGAGCACAGAGCACGGCGGCCAGCGGAGCACGGAGCACGGCGGCCAGCGGAGCACAGAGCACAGAGCACGGCGGCCAGCGGAGCACAGAGCACGGCGGCCAGCGGAGCACGGAGCACGGAGCACGGCGGCCAGCGGAGCACGGAGCACGGCGGCCAGCGGAGCACGGAGCACGGAGCACGGCGGCCAGCGGAGCACGGAGCACGGCGGCCAGCGGAGCACAGAGCACGGCGGCCAGCGGAGCACGGAGCACGGCGGCCAGCGGAGCACAGAGCACAGAGCACGGCGGCCAGCGGAGCACAGAGCACGGCGGCCAGCGGAGCACGGAGCACGGAGCACGGCGGCCAGCGGAGCACAGAGCACGGCGGCCAGCGGAGCACAGAGCACGGAGCACGGCGGTGGCCAGCAGAGCACGGAGCACGGCGGCCAGCGGAGCACAGAGCACGGCGGCCAGCGGAGCACGGAGCACGGCGGCCAGCGGAGCACAGAGCACAGAGCACGGCGGCCAGCGGAGCACAGAGCACGGCGGCCAGCGGAGCACGGAGCACGGAGCACGGCGGCCAGCGGAGCACGGAGCACGGCGGCCAGCGGAGCACGGAGCACGGAGCACGGCGGCCAGCGGAGCACGGAGCACGGCGGCCAGCGGAGCACGGAGCACGGAGCACGGAGCACGGCGGCCAGCGGAGCACAGAGCACGGAGCACGGCGGTGGCCAGCAGAGCACGGAGCACGGCGGCCAGCGGAGCACGGAGCACGGAGCACGGTGGCCAGCGGAGCACAGAGCACGGCGGCCAGCGGAGCACGGAGCACGGAGCACGGCGGTGGCCAGCAGAGCACGGAGCACGGCGGCCAGCGGAGCACGGAGCACGGAGCACGGCGGCCAGCGGAGCACAGAGCACGGCGGCCAGCGGAGCACGGAGCACGGAGCACGGCGGCCAGCAGAGCACGGAGCACGGCGGCCAGCGGAGCACGGAGCACGGCGGCCAGCGGAGCACAGAGCACAGAGCACGGCGGCCAGCGGAGCACAGAGCACGGCGGCCAGCGGAGCACGGAGCACGGAGCACGGCGGCCAGCGGAGCACGGAGCACGGAGCACGGCGGCCAGCGGAGCACGGAGCACGGAGCACGGAGCACGGCGGCCAGCGGAGCACGGAGCACGGCGGCCAGCGGAGCACGGAGCACGGAGCACGGCGGCCAGCGGAGCACGGAGCACGGCGACCAGCGGAGCACGGAGCACGGAGCACGGAGCACGGCGGCCAGCGGAGCACGGAGCACGGCGGCCAGCGGAGCACGGAGCACGGAGCGCGGCGGCCAGCAGAGCACGGAGCACGGCGGCCAGCAGAGCACGGAGCACGGAGCACGGCGGCCAGCGGAGCACGGAGCATGGAGCGCGGCGGTGTGTGCGGACACACCCCACCTCCCGTTTCTGACCCCCCCTTTCCTCTCTCACGACCTGACCCCCGGCTCAGAGCTCGCTGCCTCCCAGGGTCTTAGTTACAGACCGAGAGGCCCCTGCCTGCTCCCGGCCTCATCCCTGCCCCACTCTGCGTGCCCCACGCCCTTCCTCCTGTCCGCCTGCGTCTCACGCCAGACAAGCCATGGAAGTGACTTCCACCAGGCACCGGAGCCCGGCACTGTCACAGGCGGGGCGTGGACGCTCACCCTTCCCAGGCATTTGTGGTCTGAAGTACACACCATCAGGATGTGTCAGAGAAGCATGGGAAAGAAAAGGAAAGAAAAGGCACCTCCGGGTGAGTGCAGCCTTGGTACCCACAACACTGCACCCTCGTCTTCTGAGGCCACAGACAGGCTCCTCTCCCTTCCAGAGCTCAGCAGCCTCCCTCCGTCCAGAGCATGAGCCAGGGTGGGCGTGACGGAGCCCCCAGGGTAGGGGTGACGGAGCCCCTAGGATGGAAGTGATAGAGCCCTCAAGTGGAGGTGATAGAGCCCTCAAGTGGAGGTGATAGAGCCCTCAAGTGGGGGTGATGGAGCCCTCAAGTGGGGGTGATGGAGCCCTCAAGTGGAGGTGATGGAGCCCTCAAGTGGAGGTGATGGGGCCCTCAAGTGGAGGTGATAGAGCCCTCAAGTGGGGGTGATGGAGCCCTCAAGTGGGGTGATGGAGCCCTCAAGTGGAGGTGATAGAGCCCAGGGTGGGTGACAGGGGCACCATTTCAGAAAGCACTCCCAGACAAAAAATGGTTCTTTCTCAAATTGTTCAATTTCAAGCAGTTTTGAGAAGTTGGTTCACCTGCTATGGTGACTCACATGCATCTCAGTCATGAGCAGAGGAAACACATTGCTGCCACCCCACACATTCCCAAACCCTGCCTTCACCCCGGTGCCCAGAGCAAGCACATGGTGTTCACCAAGCCACCCAGGTCACCCTGCCCCAGAGCATTTTCATGTGCTACGAGGGAGGGCACCCAGGGAATGTGGACATGGGAGGACCTGGAGGGACGGTGGCCCTTAGGACCAGGTGGTCCTCAGGGTGCACTGGGGGCAGTCCTCGGGGTGCACTGGGGGCGGTCCTCGGGGTGCACTGGGGGTGGTCCTCGGGGTGCACTGGGGGCAGTCCTCGGGGTGCACTAGGGGGGGGTCCTTGGTGCACTGGGGTCCAGTCTGCACCCTGCTGGCCCTACACAGTGGTGGCATCTGTTTGCAGCATGGCGAATTTCGACGGATGGACTGACTCTCAAAGCATGGCTGGAGGAGGAGGAGGAGCACGTGGTCCGTCTCAGTAGGGGGCCGCAGCCAGCTCCCTCCTAGATGAAATACAAAATTCCTGAAGCCTGTGGTGCTGGTGTGGGAGCAGCGGCACCGGACCCTGGCTGAGGACAGTTATCGCCTCTACATTTTTATTTGAAAAAAAAAAAAAATCTAGCTTTCAGGCATTTGGATTCTGACAGCAAAGCTTGATCCTTTAATGGTGCAGTGCTCACAATGGAAGTGTGCACTCCCAGAAATGAGAAAGCACACCCTTTATGCACGTGTTTCTCCTGCTTAGTATCAATTACATTCCCAGGGGACAGCGCATGGACAAAATTATGCTTTAGAACTATGTTGCATTTTTTAATAAACAGAACTAATGAAGAAAAATATAATAGTCTTGTTCTGTTCTTTATTAAAAGAATTTCATTTAGAGTACTCAAACTGAGTCACAGTAGGAAGCACTTTGCCAAATTTGGAATTAAGTCAATTGGACCACAAGTGACTTTCATGTTTTAAAAAGCCTTTGCATTGCAATAGCAT